ACAAAATGCGTTTTTGCTGGCTGTAGCAGCGCTATAGCGCTGCACAGCAAAAACGCATAAAAAAGAATGTACTCATGCGTCACCTTTTTCAGGGGACCAGAAGTGTTGTTAATGGAGCAGGACAGTGAAGTACGCGTCTTGGAACGGCATAATGATGTCGATACTCGTACAGAAATTTGGAGGAAGACCGATAAGGCTCAGTTCATGTGGGCTGTTCGTGGGAAGTGTCAAAAGGTCCTCAGACAGTGAGCTTCTCTTGTACTTAGGTTGTTGATCTCTTAATTTAACACTCATTGTGCTGCTGATTATCCTTCGCTGCTAGTTATCTGTGACTCTTATAGCGCCGAACTGGCTTCCAAGGACTTTGTGATCTCAGAGGGCACACATTCCCTCACTTTTTTGCGTTTTGTACTGTGATAGTTACGCATGCTGTCAGAACCCTGTCTGTTTTCTGTGTGCGTGTGTGTGTATGTCTGTGTGCGTGTGTATGTCTGTGTATGTGTGTGTATGTGTATGTGTGTGCATATATCTTTCCCCAGGTTTCCAATCCAAGAATTGGAAATACTAGGAAGCTAGAATTTTAAGAATACGTTCTCTGCCCAGGCACAATTCCGCAAACATAAATTCAACTTGCGCTTACATGCAAGTTTTGGTGCGAAAGGCACTAATTCGGAAGCCAGATAAGTCGGGAAGCTGAAATTTTGAAACGATGTTTCTTGCCCATGTACTTTCCCAAAAACTCAAATTTAACTTCCATCTATGTCTAGATCCTACGTACAGACACGTGAACTTTTAGTAGAAAATTTTCTGACTCAGAAGCTGGACAAATTGGAAAACCGGAAATTTAGGATAATGCTTCCTGTTAATAAACAGCCTTAGAATTTCGAATTCAGGTTTTACGTCCAATTAAGTCCCATCTACAGACACGTCAAATTCCACGTGGAAGATTTTTGATGCGGAAAGCGGACAAGATAGCTAAAGTTTTCGAGGGCGTTCTCCGTTCATATGCAGTCCTACAAACGTAAATTCAACCCTCATGTACGCCTCTGTTTCACATACGGAATGTGAAATTTTTGTTAGGTAATTTCGCAGCTTACAAGACTACCTTAGGACTATTTTTGCATACAACAGCGTATAAAGCACCGCAGCAAACAGCCGCTGCAAAGAACTGCGTAATACGCATAGTTACGTGTTTTGCTATTATTTGAGCTTGTCTGCCTCGTTGTTTATTGATATATGGTGCATGTACAGTAAGCAGTGCAAGGGAAACATGTATTTTCGTGAGCAGCGCAGTAACGTTGCCGGGTATGCGAACTGAATAACCGAAAAAGCTCCGTCTAAGCGTTATGTGCAACGGAGAAGTATTAAGAAGCAGCCTGTGTTTCATCCCTTAGTTGTAAACAGAACTTTCAAAGAAAATGGAAACCTCAGGCCTTTTTCGCGAAACAAGCATGGCATCCAGTTATAGATGATATCTCTTACTGGAGCGTTAAATGTACCATCAGTTTTTGCCAGTTGCCTTGTTACTGTTTTTCTTGAGTTGTTTTTCTTCAGATATTAAAGTTAATGGAACTGTTTCCAATAAAAGCGAGACTCTATGTTGCTGTAGCTTGCAGGAGAGGTACGGGAGAGTCCAGTTTTTCCTTTAAGTGACCTGTCAAAAAATTCGTGCTCCTCAAGATTCTGCCTGCACACTGATTTCAAATTTGTCATTTATTTCATAGCGTTATATAACACACTTTTTGCATAGCCCTGATGTTATGGTGCAGTACAAAATCAACAAAATTTTGTGCAGATAAGTCAGGTATGATTTTGGTGTTGCTGAGGGCATGTATGTTGCTGCATTGGTAAGGCATTAAAGAAGTGGCTATGAATCTGAAGATAGGGCGGTAAAAACTTCTCAGCTTTGCTTCACTACACGCGGATTGGTGACAGTTCCGTCACAGAACACAGCGACTTGGCTCACTGCGTGTGCACCGCACACAAGGAAATATAAAGCAGTGAAATTCCCTAACAGCAATTATTCGCTGGACAAAACTGCACAAAATGCATGGTCGCACCGACTATAGTGGTGCGCGCCGCTATTTATTTGCATGATACGTCCCGGAAAATTCTTTTATCGGCAAATTAACATGTAATAAATAGCTTTCAATGCAATAAGCACAAAAACAACCGCTGAAACTTTGCGGCACTATTAGCTTCTTAATAAAGAAAGAATTTGGGACTAAGCCCTTTTCCCTTCCCTTCCATCTTCTCTCGCTTTCCCCGCGGTCCTCATTGATCACGTATGAATGTGCAGATAAGCAAATATCCTTCATATTTTGGGAAAAATGCTGTGGCAACAAGCCCATCGCAGTTTCCCTACTGCACAACAACAGCCAAAACGTTGGACTGCTATGGAACAGCAGAACGGTGGTTCGCTAAACATTATAGAAGGGTGAAGCGGCAGAAGTTTGCAGTTCGATTTGCGAGATCTTGTAGCGTACTCGTTTGAGCCATTGCTGTAGCGGTTGCGAGTGCAGCGATGGCTGATTCTCACAAGAATCCAATTTCATCCGCAGTTGGCTCGGGATCTGAGCATGGTAAGCAGTCAGAATTGGTTGCCACATGGCACTGAGCTGGCAGAGGACTGCCGAATTACACTGCTGCAGTGCTTGCATCGTGTTCAGGAAATGCAGATTGACCATATCGGCGAGCTGAAAATTCCCAGATAAGGCCTTCAAACATACACACACAGACAGCCCACCCAGCATGCTTGTAGCAGTAAATGGTAGGAAATGCAGCGCTTACCACTTTAGAATGTGAGAGGAGCTGTAGTATGGCTGGTGTCACGCGAGCCCAAAAATCCAGAATATTGGCGAAAGAGCTTTGCTGAAGCTCATTTGCAGTCATCGCAGCCTGCTCACAGTAGACGGTCCACAGCTGGCACAGGTGGAAAGCATGGAAAAGCGCCGACATGTGCACAACTGACTGCTGTAATGCAGCAAAAATATCTTTTAAAAGACTGGAAGAATGTTTAAATATTTCATCAAGTTTGAAATCGTCTTTTACAAATTTGGAAACATCACAAATCCAGGGGTTGGAAGGCAACGACAGAACAAAAGAAGTGACCAGTAACCTTGGATTGGTCAGCAAAGCCGGCCAGCACGAAATGTATGTAATCGGCCATATATTGTGAACAACTGATCGGGACTGGCAGGCACGGCTGAACGGCTTGGAGAGCTCCCAAAAGCAGCCAGGAAAGTAGCCGCACGTTCGTTACTGCTTCAGCAAATGCACTTGGAGTGGATTGCGTCACTGATGGCGGCGACATTAGCCATGGCAGAAAGCGACTCTGCAATTGTTCCGCCATAACACAAATTAGTTATCAGATGACTAAAAGCTGACGGCATATTGTTGTCGCTGAGAAGGACCTGTGGCTCATGCCGGTAACAGTTATGCGGATTGGACTCCGGAAAATTGGAGTTGTAGCAGTGGCGCAGCCTGGACTTTCCAAAACACAAAATCCTTATACATTTTAGGAGAAAGGATGAAACATTAGCAAAGGTTTTTATTTTTTGCGAAGTGTACAGAATTTTTTTGGGAGAATTTTCTAGCAAATGCAAATACTTTCTAGGCAAACAACGAGCGGCAGCAAGTTAGTACCGAACAATTCAAACATTTTAACAGTTATGCACAGCTGACCGTAATGCATTTACACTTGACCACAGCGACGTTTCGATGCATTTCGAAATGACAAGAAACCAAAATTTCGAATTTTTTTGGTGTTATTAGACCAGTGGAAATGGTCTTGAGATCACAAGTCAGCGCAGTGAAATAAAGAGCTGGTTTTAGGCTACTGATATGCGTTGCATGGCAAATCGCTCTTGAATGTCCCATACAATAATTTTATTTCTCCCCAACATTCGTACTTTGGAGCTGTATCAGAGGTAACATGCAAAGGATAACATGTAGCCAGTTGTGATTTGGAGCATCAATATTCTTCACGGTTCATTTTTTCTCAGCTTTGCATACCCTCGCACAATTCAGTCATACAAAGGAATGGAGCTGTTATTCAAATCTGTTGTGTCAAAACGTTGGAAGCGGAGTAACTCGAATGTCTTCAGTCACTCAGTGCTGGCAAAAACACGTATAAAGCAACAAACTCCCGCTAAACTACAACTAATAAGAAGAGTAGGTACCACTGTACGCGAATCGCGTAGGCTTGATCTGCTCATTTCAACAGCAACCACCTGCGATAACGATGATTTGATGTCACCGCCGATGTTGTCCAAATTGGTGATTTTCTGAAACATAATTGAAACAGTCCATCAAAATCATATCCACGACGAAGCGATTTTAACACGGTATTCACAGCACTTTTAAATGTTTGGAATGAATTCGGCGCGAGAATAAACTAGGCAAAATGAATGAGTGGTACCTTGACTTTGGTAAGCACGTGCAAGTCCGATATGAATTCGATGATATCGAAAAGATGTGGTCGCACAGCATCGCACGCTGCCGTATTGTACTACAATCAGACTAAATTAAACTATCGGTATAGGCGAACCAACACAACAATCGATGCACAGCCGACGCCCGGTTTTTTTTCGGTTTTTTTCCAGATATTTTTCTCGCACAATAAGCAGATACGCACATGGAAACAGAGAGATGCAAGTACATATAAGCACATACATGCATAACGCATTTTTTTTAGTGTTGCATCAAAACTTTGCAAAAATTAAGTTGCAGGCGGAGACGCCGTCTTCGTTACCGGAAAGGGATTTTGCTACAGCTTTGAAACTCAGATTGTGCGCCAGCCTGCTTGCGAGGTTGTTTCGCTTGTACAGTTAGTCAGTTGAACTGAAGGGACCTGAGCGCGCACCTGGTCATCAGCAATTTCCTCGGAAACGTTCTCTCCAGCATCCTGCAGTATCAAATCCACTATCGTCATATAATTGTGCTCATTCATATCGCACTTAAACTTCAGTGCTTGTACCAGTTCCGACACAATTGCTTTTGTTAAGTACTGCTTGTCACGTTCCTAAATGGTTATTTAACAGAAAGATCCACAACAAATCTGCAATTTTTTTTTCACAATAACGCATTTGGTAGAAAAGCGAAAAAAGTAAAATACACCTTTACTTTGCTAATCTTCGATTTCAAAAAGGCTTTCTGCACAGCGAAATTTCAATCTAGATCAAAAGTTCGATCCAATATATCAGACTATCAAAGACTCTCTCAACGGATTACATGCAGAAATGCCTATTTTTTACAAACCCTTAAAAATTAGAACTGATAGAGGTGTGCAACACTGTGAGAAAATTTGTTCCCACAAAAGCCCCTAGAAAACGTCTTAAGGGAAACTGCAACAACACACAGATTCCATATGAACAGTGAAATATTCTATTTGTTTTTGCAGACGACAGTGTTGCTCACTGCAGGGAGCTACAAGGGCTACATCAATTTTTAAATGAGCATACGTTCGCTGTGAAGGGAACTGAGTTCCAGATCCACCGAAGACCGAGGCAGAAATGCATCAGGATTGCTGATGTGATCATGCGCTTTTGCACCAAACATGAAGTAATCAGGTCGTTAACTGCGAGAATGGTTGTTGCTTAACACCTACCTTGCGCACTCATTACCGTAAATCATCGTAAATTCGGCATAAAAAATCCACGTATACTTATAGAAGTAAAATTTGAGATCTTTAAGTTGCACTTGGACAGGGAACATTTCCTTAAAATTTCAGTCTTCCAGCTTCTCTGGCTACAGAGTTGGCAATTTTTTCCACCAAATCTTCGTATGTGACAGTCACAGAAACATAAAGGCTGAATTTCTTACGTACCTTACATACTTATACATATCCATGTATAACTTAAAGTTAATAATAATATTATCAAAAATAATATTATGAGTGAATTGTCTCGATACTTATTTGAAACCGGATATGCAACAAGCCCACCTTCGGTAATATGGTACTTTAGTCAGCACATAGTACTTTCTACTTTAACTAACATATACTTTTACTAGTATGTCAATATAACTAATTTAAATTTAATT